TGCAGGAAGGTTGGTCCACTCCCCTGCACAAGCCTCCCCCCTGCAGACTGCTGCCCCGTCTGCTGCGAAGGGTGACCTACAGGAGGAGAAATGTTTCAGCTGAAATGTTTTGAATAGCGTCAGAAAAACCAGACTTCAAAAATATTAGGAATCCACCACCAAACAACGGCGTCTCCACCGCTTGCCCCTGAGCAGCTGGAGGTGTAGAAGATGCTTGGTCAGTTAGCCCAGAGACTGCTAAAGTTCTGGCTGGAGAGTATAATAGTTAATGGCAATATCTCGCTGCTGTGGTACAAAGCATTTAAAAATCTCATCTTCCCATGGAAAAGCAGGGCTTGAAGGCAAAGGGAAGAAAAAAAAGAGATGGATACTCACTGAAATAGTTTAAAATGCTGTCTTAGAAAATTCACAACTTCTTTCTCATAGCTTTCACCATTACTTAAATCTCTTGCTCTGCTACACCAATAGAAAGAGCAAGCTAGTGAAAATATGGATACAGAAAAATAAAACAGCCTGCACAAAAGCTGGAGTTACAGTATGGAAGAACTGTAAAAAAACTGCTTTAAAGTTCAGATATAGATTTCATACATAAAAATTACGAGCCATCCTCTCTTAAGCGAAAGAAATTCAACACACAGTCCATTATCAAGGGGCTATAAAATAAATTTGGGCTCTCCTATTCTTCAGCTCTGTCTCTGGCAGTTACATTGAAAGGTTCTGCAACAGGAGCAGTCACCAGGACCTAAGTTAGAATCATGGAATCATGAAAGAGTTTAGGTTGGAAGGGGCATTCAAGATCAAATAGTTCCAACCTCTCTTGTCATGGGCAGGGACACCTCCCACTGGACCACATTGCTCAAAGCTCCATTCAGCCTGGCCTTGAACACTTCCAGGGATGGGGCATCCACAGCCTCTCTGGGCAACCTCTGCTGGTGCAGGACCTTGCCTTGGCCTTGTTGAACTTCACCAGGTTGGCATGGGCCCACCTCTCAAGCCTGTCAAAGTCTCTCTGGATGTCACCTCTTCCCTCTAGTGTATCAACTACACCGCTCAGCTTGGTGTTGTCCACAAACATGCAAGTCACTGATAAAGATGTTAAAGTGCTGGTCCCAACACTGACCCCTGAGGAATGCCACTTGTCACTGGTTTCTACTTGGACATCAAGCCATTGACTGCAACTCTGTAAGTGTTTGTTTTTCATCAAAGTCCATTTTTCTAAAGAGGAAAGGGGAGATGCTTCCTCTCCAGGTCCTTTTGTGGTGGGTTTTCCAGCATGTTGCCAACCTTTACAGCTCATGGGTTGTTTTAAATTTACTTCCTTGCTTCTAAACTGGACAGGATTACAGCTATCCAAGCCTTAACTTGGCCACTACAGAAGCCTCTTTAGATAGTCATTTACATGGAAGAGCAATACAGGCCCACATCCAGGGAGAAACACCTGAGGTTTTCTTCAGCCTCTCTCTAGAAAACATTAGCAGAAGGGACCTGGTCCCCAACAGGTAGGCCAGGCAAACTGTCCCAGCATTTGCTCTTTCCTGAGCCCCATGGCTCCACCACATCCTCCTGTGCTGTGTAGCTTCAGCATCTCCCTCGTAAACAACTACACCGTGTGTCTGCACAGTGGTGCAAAACTGAGCATGCTGCAAACTTCACCAGCCTCGTGCTCCTGTTCAGCCTACCCTCTCTTGCCCTGTCTGCACGTTGTCCGAGATCTACAGTGAGACTGTGAACTCTTCCACTCACACACTGAATCCTGGTGGACTTTAAAGCACAGCACACACTTGGGGCTGCATAATCTGCTCAGAAAATAACATACTTTGCTCCAAGCACGAAGGGGCTCACATGGAGAACAGCAGCTGTTTAGCTTTGCAAAAGGAGCTCAGACAAGACACTATCATTCTCACTGATACATTGTCAGGAAGGGAATAATTATTTAAAGCAAGAAACAGTGCTGGAAGGGAAATGAATGGTAACAGCCAGCCATGAAAAACATCAAGATCAAAGCCAGATTTGTAATCAGCACAATGAATTTCTGGAACAATGCTCTAGCAGGTACAGAGCTAAAAACCCATCCAGGCAGCTCCTTTGCAGATGGTCTATTATAGGCAGGATGTGAGAAGGCAGCTCTTTTTTTTCCCCTGTACTCTTTGATAAAAAGTGTTTGAATATATCATGAAGTAGCAAGGTGTGAATCGAGTGCTACCTCCACCGCAGAGCTGACTCTAACTCAAAGCTGCAAATCTGTAAGTGCCACAGTTGTGCCTTTCCCAAATCACAAGACAGAGACCAACAAGATGAAGTGATTTAAGAGATAAAGAAACATGTAAAATATAATCCCTTCAAGTGCTCAAAGCCATTAGACTTTTTGAAATTTACCCTGTAACACTGATAAAACTTCCAAATCCAGTAACTAACTTCTGCTCACTAACTGGATTTGCTGTATGCCCACCTAGTGTATTCCCATAGAATGCTCTGTGTTCTCTTTATGGCAAAGTCCTGCATTTTAATACTAGTCTCAAAACAAAAAGTCCAGTAACCACAGAACTCCAAAAGGTTTCTTCAGTCACGGGGTTTTCATTCACTCTCGGCTGAATTCTCACTTGCACAGGATCAGAGGCAGTAAAAGATTTATGGAAACAGAGAAATCTGCACAGCATCATCTTTAGCTAACCATTTCAGAAAAAAAAAAGGCAGCGAAGAACTTGCAGCACCAACAGATTTAGTTTCATACTTACTTTAATCTTATGCACTATTTATTTGCTCTTGAAGCTTCTATGCATACTTGTACCCACACTGCAACCCACACAGCTGAAGACCAAGGACTCCTAACATCAGCTTGCAGAGGTGCTTCCAGTGGTGACCAGAGATTCTTGCTTCTGTCTAGGCACATATGCCCAGCGGATGTGCCTCCACACCCTTCTCCGCTCTTGAACTGGTTATAATCCTTACCAGCAGGACTTGCTGACCTCCTGGCGGGGTCTCTTCCCCGCGTGGTGCTGGGCACTGGGCAGCACGCCAGCCCGGGCACGCTGCTCCGCTCACCCGCGCCAGCGCTGGGGCCGTGCTCACCTCACGGCCCGTCCCAGCTGGCATCCACACCGCCTGGGGAACCTCTGCTGCAGCCAGCTGGGAGACTTGGGTTTTAGTGGTTTGCAGATACAGAGACCACTGGCTGGAAAACTCTGCAGGAAAATCCTATCACCCCCCCAAATTCCGCAAAGGCACTGATTTTATGCTGATCAGCATTTTGTTTTTTAATAAGGGAACTCACAAACAGTCAAACATTTCACCAGCAGTACACCAGCGCTTTACATTCAGAGTCCATTGCTTTGTTTTCTATTGTAACATTACCAATTAGAACATTTAAAACAAAGCAGCTCAAGTTGTTTACAAAGACTTTAATTTCAGGAATGAAACCATTAATTGTCTCAAGTGCCAGTCTGATAAACACGTCCATAACAGCAACAGAAACAGCTTGGCAAGGTGAGCAGTGCCACTGACAGTTTTTCAAATGCTTTTTGAATCTGGTTCAAGCAACCCAAGACCATTTAGATCTGTAGCTATGCCTCATAATAACAACTATGTTCAACTGCACTTATTGAAAAAGTTGGTCTGAGGACATAATGTTTTTAACTTGGCATCTAAAACAAAGTGGGGAATACCTCTAAAATGGCTGAAACAAAGACTTGCTGATCTAATCCTTGTTATTTCCAATACAAGAAAAATGTACAGGTAACCTAATTTAGCATGTAATGCCCTCAGATCTGTGCCTATGGATTTAAAAGAGACTCCCATGTAGCAAAACAAAAGCTGTGCAAATGCAGGAACACCAAGAAGTCAATCCCTCTGCTTACTGCTATCTTCCCATATTTTCCATTACTTTCTTCCTACTGACTTTGGCACTCTCACATATGGACAGGGGAGCACTGCTCTGGCCATGAAAAAGTCCTAGTGGCAGCAGTAATGAGTCCTAATTTACAGTTCACTTTAAATATTAAAAACCTTTTTTTTTTTACTAGTGATTTTGCAGCCACAAATCACTAAAAGTTACATCTGATGTTCTATCTTAATTCTGCAAACGCTGGCTCAAATCTTATTAATTTTACTTTAAAAATAACCTGTCTCAGAAGAATATTTTGCCAGATTTTATTTTCAGGATGAAAACTCAGTATGTGCCGTAACTTTAAATAGGAAAATTTCTACCATGTACCTATCCTTCCATGGATCCAAGGGGTGTGTACATCAGGGTGAGCTTGTAGAACAGCAATTCTGAAAACAGAAAAGTTCCTAACAGAATTTCAGCCTCGAGTTAGGTGATCCCATAAAATAAATCAATACTACCTAATTAATACTTCTTACATGATTACACCATCAAGACTACTGAAGTTTATTATTTCTCAAACTCAATAGAATATGAGTAAGTTTTCCATATTAAAAGCAGCAAAAATTAAGACTCATAGGAGCTTTTAATTAAAAATCATCATACCTGACAGCTTAAATAACTGCTTCTCAGAAAAAAAATAAAATACATTAAAACCATTTGTCTGTTACAATAAAATTTTAAGGAAAAAAACCTCAAATGTAAATTGTTCAAGTACAGCCAGTGTGCAATTAAACTAGTTAGAAAATATAATTTAATAGTGCCTTGTTTCAAAATATACATAATATTGAAAAACACTTAAACACACGAAACCAAGTATTTACCAAGTTTCAAACAGAGTTTCATCAAAATGAGGTAAATCAATGTCACCTGCCATTGAGCTTGGTGCTGAAATGGAGAACAGGTCTTCAAGGATATCGTCCCTTGTCGGGCTTTCAAAAGGAAGCTTTTTCACACTGGGTTTGCTGATTGTATGGAGTTCTGAGTTACTGTCCTTTACAGGGCTGTAATAGCTGTGGTCCTTGCTTGTCCTTTCTGCCTGTGGCACACTGGTCATCTCATCAGGCGCGGCTGTTGCAACACAGCTATCCACCATCTCCATATACATACATTCCTCTTCACTTTTTGGAGCCTCTAAGGAAGCGACCGTCGAAGTAGGGGAGAGCAGTTCTGACAGTATCTCATCCGTGCTGCCCGGGGCAGCGCACCCCGACGCGGAGCTCGTGTCTGCGACCCCCATGTGGTACTGCAGCTCCCTCAGAAAGCTCTGCATCAGCTCACCCGCATCCTGGCACTCGCTCTGCGGCGCGGGGTTTCCAGCTCCACTCACAGGCTTTTCCTGTCTCAGCTGTTCCACTGCTAGCCTGTCCAGTGAAGCCAACTTCTTCTTTTTAGCATTAAGCTTTTTTAACAGTTTGAGACGAAGTTTTTTTGTTTTTTCACTATCTGACTCCTCTGCCTTCCCAGAGTTACAGCTCGGTGACTGGAACCCAGTCACTTTACCTGAGGGACTCGGCACACTTCCTGACTTACTCTGCGTTGGACCTGCAATAGTGGTATGATTTGCTGTTGGAAGACAAGTGCTCTGAGAAAACCCTTTGAAATTTGATAAAGGATGCATACTATTCCTCTGAGGAACTGCTGACTTTGGGGTCTCAGTTGTTTTGTTTGCACTTCTGCTTTGAAATCCACCAAAGTTACTCGCTCCCTTCACTGGCAACCGCACTTCACTTATTTTTTGCATTGAGGGAGTTTTGCAACTTTTCTCATTCTTGAGAGCTGAGGCACTTGAAGGCATAAAAGAAGTATTCTTGCTTAATAATTTCTTCACCCAGCTTCCTACAAATCCTCTTTTTTGGTCTTTGTGCAAAGGCTGAAAGGAATTATTGGCAGGAGAAGAATTTGCAACCTGAGAATTAACTACAATTTTACTTGCATCTTTCAATTCAGGTGATCTCTGTATAATATTCTCTACTGGTGACAATTTCTTGTTTAGCTGTAGTTCTGAATTTAATCCATGTTGTCTGCTAGGTAAATTAGCTCTATCATCTGCTCTTTGAGCAAGTGGTAAGTCAGATAGGTCAGGACTGTGGTTTTGGGGCACAGGAGGGGTAATATTTACTAGGGTTAACTCTTCTTGAGGTAAGCAAATGATGGAATTTTCATATATCGTGCATTTATTCTTCATAGCTAGACCAGTTCCAGCAAACTCTCCTGTATAGGGAGGGTCAGGTGAAAAACCTGTTTCCTGCTGTTGTGGTGTGCCCATTTCAACAAAAAGGTTATTTCCCACCATCTGTCCATTCTGCAGCGATTCACCTTCTGAGTTAACTTCAATTTCTTCAAGCATCAGTGTTACAAGATCATCACGTGCCAGATTTTCTGAACCATGATAAACAATAGCTTCATCTTCAGCTACCTGCTGCTGTTTCTTATCTGGAGTTCTCACAGAATCCTCTTTGTGATGTTCTGCAGGTATTTTGTCTACAGTGTTATCAAAACCACAGTGCAACACTGTAGAATTCAACTGTACATTATTAAGAGGAAAATCTGCAATATTTTTACTCTGGAACCGTGAATTCTGTTCTTCTGGCACATGGGTTATTTTCTTTTCCCAGATTACAATATGAATCTCTGAAGGAGGAACTTCAAATCTTTGACGTCTCTTGCAGTACGGCCCCTTTAAATCATCACATTCAAGCCAAGTTCCTGAAAAATAAATAGCAACCAGTGTAGAGACTCAGCGACTCAAAATTGAAGTCACTATCCTCAGACACTTGTCAAATAGTTTTATTAATCCAGTCCCCTGAGAAGCAGGAAATAAAAGATTTTTTTTCCATTCTTTATTACATCAAGGAAAACAGGCAGAATTTGCAGCAATACCATTACAGGTCAGAGTAGGTCAACCAAAAAACAAAACTAAGAGGTTTTTTTGTCTGTTGCTGATACCTTATCTGAAAATACCCACACAGGTCTGAGAGAAGAACCACCTCTCAAGTTTCTCTGCAGACCTTTACACAGCCTGGATAACAGGCATGGGGATTTAAGAGAAACTGCTTATTTCAGTAATCTGCCTCATCATCTGCAAAGTGTTCATTGATAATGAGTAAATATTCTGCAGCTCTAAGAATGATGTACAGGATGTTCCTAACTAGGCACTTCCAAGCTGCTTCCTCTTCCTATTTATTCTTAAATTCTGGCGGTATGATTTAGGCAATTTTCATGTCACAGCCCTTCATAAGACTGTGCTCCATTCTCTCTACAGAAGCATAAGAATCAAAATACCAACTTTTCACCTTCTCTGATTATGGCGTTCCATCAATGGTAAAACCATCACACCACTAGTAATGTTTCTAACATGGATTTCTGCCTCACAGGTGCAGTAGAGTTCAGAAATTAAAAGAAACATCATTAATGCTGGTAGTGTCATAGATTTCCTTGATTCCAGGTGAGAACGGATTAATAACTGGATTCAAAATATCCAATACCATTTGTCCCACAGCCATACTCAGGTTGTATTTTATAACATTAAAAAAGTTATGAAAGGAAACAACTCTACCCAAATAACTTTTGCCAGGGAGTACAGTGTAGGACAGAACACTGCTGAACAAATAAGTTAAATCAAACTGAAACCTTCACCCTGAGTAACAAAATTCCCACAATTATTTACAAAACTTTAATATGAAATTTTGGATAGACAAAAGAAATCCTTGTTATTATATATGGAATGTGAAGATTATTGCAGTAACCCATAAAATAGTCCTTGATGTAGACTCATTAAGTATTATAACAGAATTTATGGTTCTTACCATCAGGATTCAAAGACCAGGTTATGAAGTGCTTATCTGTTAGATACTGAACAATAGATGTTATATGGTAGGTGTCTTCTTCAAACTGAAATGAATAGTTCTTCAGGTTGTTATGTGGCAAGCCTTCTACGAAATGGAACATTAATATTGAGGGTACTCTAATAAAGAAACAATAAATAACCAGTTTATTACAACAAAATAGTGGCAAAAGTTCCTAATAAAAAGAAAGTCATCTCAAAGAGTATGTAGTTCTGACCATACTGTTCTATTTCCACACAGGACTCTTCAGATTGCACAGCAGTCAAGAATACCCCAACTGGATATTCCATTTGGTCAGAGATTAGGGGATAAAACAAATTCCACATAAGGGATTTGGGGAGTGGCAAAAAGGTCAAGAACAGAAAACAACTGTAGTAAAGGACATTGTTCCCAAGTCAAACTACTAAACAGATGATCAAACAAGAGTTTTATCCATTGACAGCAGAGGCTGTGAGAAGGCTGACACTGGATACCAGTTGTCTATATTTACTACTTGGTAGTAAGTATTCATGACCTGGCTCAAACACATGTGCTGGTCAGCATGTTAACACTTCCCTCTGTTTCATGTTTATTAAACACTATTTGCCATTTCAGCATTTAGGAAGGATCTAAAAAAAATCTTTAAAACTGAGTATTTATCAGAGTTTAAAGTTCAGAATCTCTGCAAACTCAAGTATGGTTTTGAAAGTGATACGTTCAATAAATGAGGTGTCAGAATTGTATCTATTTGATTATCAAGTTCACATATTCAAACTTACTTTTCCAAAATCATCTGTCTCCTTTGAGATCTATCACCACAGTTATTACATGGTCCAACGTGAACAGCATTACGTGGATGCCAATCAGGGATTACATTTGTGAATGTTGTTAGTGTTTTCCTACATCTGGACACAGAAATGCACAAACACAAAAGAGTAAGTTGAGTGTTTAGAAAACAATTAATATACTTTATCAGAAGAAAGAAAGTTATAAAAACGTTATGACAAAGCCAAATTCTACTCATATTAAGCCATTTAAGTGAATACCACTACGACTGCATCACATCCAAGTCAGCACTGAAGTCAGTTCTGCCAAACAGTATCAGTCACCATTTGTTTTCAGCAGAACTGTGGCCTTCACTTTCACTTTATTTGCTCTTTCTTCCTTACATGTTATCTGTTTCCTTTCCAACATAAGACAGAGCTTGTACCAGGACCTTCATCAGTTACTAGCTAATACAGAATCTCAAGGAGAGGAGGAAAGAGTAACAAATTACCTCGGAGTCCACGTTATACAAGGTTTTGTTTTCAAAACCCAGTACATTCAGAGCAGAGACTACACAGAGGTCATATTGTATGAGAATACAGGGTTCAGGATATTAAGTGAAATAACATAGTTCATTCATTAGTCACAGAAGGGACTTCCTTTATATTCAATCTAACCTAGATTTTTCTACTTAAAAAAACCCCGAACACAGTATGTAACAAAAGCTCTTGAGCACATCCTATTAACCAGGACTACACATTAGCTGGCAGTGTAACAGATAGCATTAATCTCATCTCACCTGGGGATCTAGAATTTTACTGTATAAACCTAAGGCAGTGAAGACAAACAGGTAAGTAAAGTGAGCTGTCTTTTGAAGGTGTCTCTTTGTCTGCTTACACTAACAGTAGCCTAAATTATGAGCTTGTACCTGCAGCTACACAGAACTAAATCAATTCTCAAGAAATAACTTCCCAGTAAAACCATTTAAAAATAGATGAATTATAGGAGAGGCTCTCTGATTCTTTGTAATCTAAATAAATATTACAGATATTCTTCAGTAGTAAAAGTAAACTAGGCATATGATCTTTAGAACCACAACAATTTGTATATTTTCAGGACAAAATGAGAGTGAGCATGACCAGGGATTCACACAGTTGCCTATTATTTCTTTCTTAAGTGATAATGTGGTTTCCTAAGACATGACATAGCAGTAAGCTATTTGCAAATGCTAGCCTAAAAAAGCAAATCACACAAAACGTCCACTAAAAATTTTAAGCCGTACGAAACGTGGAGATCTGAAGAAAATCAACCATTATATGCAGATTTAAAAACATAAGGTACAACAGCTACATAAAAGCTACTTAAAGAAAAATCTCACCGGTCCTGGTATTTGTAGCCACAAGATACACATTCAAACTTCCATGAAAATGAATGCAAGAATAGTTTCTCAGCTTGTTGATCCAGTCGTAGGAGTAGAGGGAGTGCAAACACCGGACTCTCCTTCTTACCTTCAAAGATGGGGCAGCAAAAACAGTCATAAATATTTGAAATCAGTTTTCAGTACTTCAAAAAGGCAGAAAAGAAGCTTATTTCCCTGATTTTAATTCCAGTTATCCCTTCAGGACTGTACTTCTAATCCTCACAGCAAAGGAACTGACCTATGTATTAGGTTGTTATCAGTGACAATTTCATGACTTACAGCATAGCCATAAAGATGAGAAAGCAGTCTCTAAATCAAAAACAGTCAGGGGGCAAATCTGCTCATCACATGGTATGAGCATGTCACAAATGAAAACAAAGGTATTTGCAAACTGTCTTGTATGCATACTTAAGTTTTTAAGTGCTGACATACAAGGCTTTACACGTAGGGTTTCCTGGAAGTACACCATGAGATGCTGCACTGACTACTTACCCAGTTCACACTTAAACTGAGGCTGAAGTTGTGTAAACATTCTGGTTCTGATTTCATTCAGATGAGACTCTGCTTTTGGAAGAACATCTACAGAGAAAAATACGTGTGTTTATATGTACCACTCCCACACTTTCACACACACTACCCCTAACGTGCGCTCACTCTGCAAACTGAGGCCTCCTGTGCTGATCCATACCTGCCTAAAACTGTTGGTAAAATAGCCAATGACTACTATCAATTGATTTGAAAATTAGAGAGGAATTTACACAAGATATGCACATTTTACTGCAGTCTGCTAACCAGAAATTACTTGACCTGACAAATTATGGCTAAGAGTGTGCAACAACAGCTAGGTAGTAATAACATTTAAGGATAGTGTAGCAGACATTAAAAACCTGTGCAGATTCAGATTAGGAGTAGGTTTTGAAACATAAACATGAAGGACAAAAGCACTACAATTTGTTTACATGCTTTCTAATGATGTCATACAATTTATAATAAAATATTTAAATGTGTTGTTCTGGATTAAAGACTGATTTCCTAAGTCAGCCTCTAAAATAGTAAAAATACTTTTTTTTAAAGTGTACTTTATATACTTATATACATCTTAGCATGCATTTTAAACTTGCAAGTTACATTGTTTCTACACAAGCACTATTTAAGCACAAGCAAGAACACAACATCTACTACACATCATGATCACAACCTGCATAAATTAAAGGAATTAGAATATATGCTCAAACTATTTATTACTTATAACATCTGTGTCTATAAAAAAGGCAAAAAGAAGTTTCTTGCAACTCAATTGCTTGACAGTTTTTAAGAACAACTGTTTGTAAAAGCTGCTGAAAAATTACAGAGAGGGCAGAATACATACTACACCTATTATCCACAACAATATGCTTCATCCAATCCCCTCTGCTATAGCCAAAAGAAAACCAATTCGTTTTGCAGCAATTCCTGGAAATAAAAAGGTTTAAGACATCCCAAATGAGGCTACATTCCAACACTTAGCATCCCCATTTAAAGGTTCTTTGCACACCAGACCTCCTCTACACAGTACAAGAGGGGGGAAAGAAAAACATCTCAGGAAGGTTTAAAGCTATTACCTGGCAGCCCTCTACCATCACAGAACTTAATTCAAGCATCCTGACTTTCTGGCAAGCAGAGTATATGAACTAGTATGGAATCTTTTGGGATTTTCTTTTTTCCTCTGTAAAACAGTATGTTTTCTCAGCCACAAAGCAGATTAAATCTTTTTTTTTTTTCTTTGATACATCTCTTATTTTTCCCAGGAAAGATATGACTTGCTTCAAGTTATCTAATGCTGCTCTGGTACTATATATTTGAAGACACTCTGTTCCTGGAATGTCTATTAAAAAAAATAAAAAAACCCAGCTAACTAAAGATCTATATTCATTCTCTAATATGTGACCTCTTGGAAGCTCACACTTATGACACCAGTGGGTCAGTTCAATCATAGAATGGTTGGGTTGGAAAATACCTTAAAGATCATGCAGTTTCCACCACTCTGCCCTGGGCAGGGACACCTCCCACAGGTGATCACACCTCACAGCCCTGTCCAGCCTGGCCTTGGAACACTTCTGGGGATGGGGCATCCACAGCTTCTCTGGGCAACCTGTTCCACTGTCTCACAGTGAAGAATTTCTTCCTTACATCTAATCTAAATCTACCCCATTACAGTTTAAAGCCATTACCCCTTGTCCTATCACCACAGACCCTTATAAAAAGTCCCTCTCCAGCTTTCTTGTATGCCCCCTTTAGAAACTGAAAGGCTGCTATGAGGTTTCATTGGAACCTTCTCTTCTCCAAGCTCAACAACCCCAACTGTCTTAGCCTGACTTCAAAGGAGAGGTGTTCCAGCCCCCTGATCATCTTCATGGCCCCCTAACAGGTCCATGTCCTTCTTACATTGGGGGCTCCAGAACTGAATGCAATACTCCAGGTGTGGTCTCACAAGAGTGGAGTTGGGGGGCAGAATCACCTCCCTTGACCTGCAGTCATGCTTCTTCTGATGCAGTCCAGGATTCAGTTGGGCTTCTGGGCTGCAAGTGAACATTGCACAGTCATGTTGAACTTCTTGTCAACCAACACCCCAAAGTTCCTGTCCTCGGGAAAAAGATTTTAGTTTAAGAGTCTTAAACTGAATCCATAGTACAGAAAATGTTTAAAGGTCACATCAGTAGATTACAGTGACACATCTTCCTCTGACTCCAGCAGTGCTGCCCAGAAGGTTGCCCTCAGCTGCTCATCACTTCTCCTGTGCTGGGAGGTTATTCCTCAAACCTGTTGAGCTGCACATGTGAGTACTAACTAACCCTTTCCAGACAACACGAACCAGGTTCACGTGCTTGACTGATTTTGACTGAAACAGGTTAGGAAGCACTATTTCAAAGGAACAGGCAGTGAGATGGGTTGAGAACTGGCTATATGATAGAGCCCAAAGAGTGGTGATCAATGGTGCCAAGTCCAGCTGGAGACCTGTAACTAGTGGAGTCCCCCAGGGATCAGTGCTGGGTCCAGTCCTGTTCAACATCTTCATTAAGGACCTGGATGATGGTATAAAGTGTCTGCTCAGCAAGTTTGCTGATGACACAAACTGGGAGGTTTGGCTGACACAGCTGAAGGCTGTGGAGCCAGTCAGTGTGATTTGGACAGACTGGAGAGCTGGGCCAAGAGGAACCTCATGAGGTTCAAGAAGAACAAGTGCAGAGTCCTGCACCTGGGCAGGAGTAATAAAATGCACCAGGACAGGTTAGGAAGAGATCTGCTAGAGAGCAGCCCTGTGGAGAGGGACCTTGGAGTCCTGGTGGACAACAAGTTGTTCATGGCACAGCAGTGTGCCCTTGTAGCCAGGAAGGCCAATGGTATCCTGGGGTGCATTAAGAAAAGCGTATGCAGCAGAAGGAGGAGGTCCTGCCCCCCTCTGCTCTGCCCTGGTGAGACCTCACCTGGAGCATTGTGTCCAGTCCTGGGCTTCTCATTTCCAGAGGGACAGAGATCTACTGGAGAGAGTCCAGTGAAGGGCTATGAGGGTGACTGGGGGACTGGAACGCCTGCAGTATGAGAGGCTGAGAGACCTGGGGCTGTTTAGTCTGGAGAAGACTCAGGGGGGATCTAATTAATGTGTATAAATATATGAGGGCTGGGTGTCAAGAAGAAAGGGGCATCCTGTTCTCATTTGTGCTCTGTGATGGGACACAGGGCAATGGTGACAAGCTGGAGCACAGGAAATTCCACCTCAACCTGAGGAAGAACTTCTTTACTGTCAGGGTTCCAGAGCACTGGAACAGGCTCCCCAGGGAGGTTGTGGAGTCTCCTGCCTTGGAGACTTTTCAGACCCGTCTGGATGTGTTCCTGAGTGACCTGCCCTAGACTAGATGGTCCTGCTCTGGCAGGGGGAGGTTGGACCCCATGATCTCTGGAGGCCCCTTCCAGCCCCTAACATTCTGTGATTATCCTCAGCACAGCTTGGAGTCCTCAGGGGAAGCTTTTCTTCAACGAGTGCAGCGGGATCCAGAACAGGACATACCTTCCCAGCTTTACTATTCTTGGTGTGACAAGGCAACTGCTCATTTATACAAGGATATAAATCACAACAGAAATTATTTTGAACATTAGTACAGCATCTTAATATGTTAACCAATGGAAGGGAAGGAAACAAAGTATAACTCAGTTCCATAAACAATTCACAAATTCTCTGTGTGGGATATAACAAAACAAAACAGAACAAAAGAATTGAGAGATAGTGTTTGATACATTTGTGCAGGTTTGTCCCAAGAAAATTTCCAAGGTTAACAGGTTTCTGCTAGATAAAGCACTATACTCTGCAAATTCATGGTAATGTGCTGTAACTCATTCTTTTGTGATCTTGAAAGAGAACACAGGCAGATTTCAGTGGATCGTACTACGTTCTACATATTTGTAGCAGATCAGATCAGTCTGAATATGAACAGTAGCTAAATTTACTCACCTTTTACTTTACTCCTTTTACAGGAATTCAGAAGCACAGCTGCTTGATTATATTTCGCCAGCAGTTCTTGGAGTAAACATTTCCCACTGTTATATTCTTCTGCTAGAGCAACTTTTAAGGTTTCTAAGTGTACCAATGCTGACAAAATACAATCCAACCAACACAGATTATGCATATTTCTCCACTGAAGACATAAATCTGTGTTATTAGTGGAACCTTTATCACCTTTGAGCAAAGTTTCAGATGTTGTTGAGCAAAGTTCAGAATTTGGCAAGAGTTGTGTTCCAGAAGTCTTAGGCAAACTCTCTTGGTAGCTCTTGGTATTAGTAGTAGTATCAAAATCCACCTTCTGCATGCAGGACTCCACACTGTTACTAGGCTTTTGCTGGTCATTTGGTAACACATCATGTAGGCTTGACTTGGGAACACATAAGCTATCCTGATAGCATTTGACATCGAGGTCTGCATTAACGTGGTGCTCAACATTCCCATTACTAGTTCTTGATTTTTTTGGATGTGATTCAACAGGAGGAAGATCACTGATATCACACAATTTCTTTTTCTTAAGTGTAGTTGGAACTTGATGATTTCCTGAATCAGCAGAAGTAATTATGCTGTTTAATGGTTTATAACCAAGTGGGTAGATACACTAAAAGAAAGAAAATTAGAGTGAAATCTATAAAGCAATTTCAGTTGAACAAGAGCTAAAAAAGTACAAGTCATACCCTCAAACTGAAATGTAGGACTTCTGTAATGTGATATTTTAATGGAATCAATACATAAATTCAACATATGTTAGACAGGAAGGGTGTTTTATCCAACCACTGTCTTATAAGCAATTGTGATGTAAATACAGTGATAACCAACAATATTTTAATATTTTTACAGTAAATGCTTCCAACTCCTGGAAGCAACCTAATTTTGCTAAAGAGAGTCCTCTTCTCTTGTTCTGCTAAATCCATTCCTTTAGGGTGCAGATTTGGCATTATCACCTCGTGTCTGAGAGAATGCTGGTGCCAAAACTGGCAGGGAATCTTTCAGGCTAGCCTGATGTGTTAGACCAGGTGCTGGTAGGGTCTTACATATATCCCTATTCTGCAACCAGAATAGAGTCAAATCACTATTACCAGTCTCCAGAAGGATACCATGGATATTTAAAAGCAGGGATATAAAAGAAAAATACCTCAAAGACCAATATCTAGCCTAGTCACTACTACTTTAAGGGCACCAGTCCATATGGGCTTGCTATACCCTCCCCACACACCCGGAGTGGTAGGGAGAGGAGAGGCAGCAAAGCCATTACTCAATTAGTTTCTGTCTCTATATAGGCAAACATCATCCATTATCCGGACTCAAAAGGGTCTTATTTCAACAGTCTGCTTACCACTAACAAAATCTTCAATCTAAAGAGATGTAACTGCCTCTGAGAGGTGTAAGGGCTTCTGCACAACCAAATAAAACTGATAACTAGTGTAATACCTGAGGATTTTCACAAAGAAAAATAGACTCTTGAAAATTAATGCGGTAAGTTCGTAAAACTTGATTCTGACCCTTCTCTTTGCAGACTGGACAGTACTCATGTGCAGTTGTTTCCACTGGATTACAGTTCTAAAAAAATGAAAGAAATAAAAAGCAGCATAAATTTATGTATTTCATATATTATCCCAAGATAAGACACACAAACATAGCAAAATAAAAAACCAACTTATAAGTTCTAATTATAATACCTAATACAATATAAAAAAGTAAACTAGATTTTTTTTCAATATTTATAAGATGCATATTTGCATGGTAGAGTGTTCTAAAAAAAAGTTATATTTTTATTTAAATATTCAAATTTTTAATAAGGTATTTTTAACAACACCATTATGCAACATTTCATTCCACTTGAACTAAATACAGGACGTTTATTGCCAGGGAACACAAGCTCAGATCTTTGAAAGACAAATCAACTTTCATAGGTATTTAAACAGTCATAAAAATAGTGCCAGTGAAAAAAAAATCATAGGCACAGATTTACTTAGAATAATCTTTCGCCATTGTAATAGATTTCCGTGGAAAATAAATTTGAGATTTTTTTTTTTTGTAAAATTAAGACCAATTAAAAATCTCTCAAAGCAGAGAAAAATATGAACTTTGCACATATGTAAAATAAGTTTCAACTGACTTTTCCCAAATACCCCACCATGTGGAGTGTCGATTTCCCTATACCAGTCCCTTCTCCAATCACTTGCAAACCATTTGTAGTCTTCTGGGTATCCATCATTCTGAGCCACTGGCTAATTTATGTCACTTGTAACAATGTCATGACCACTAAGGATTTTTCAAAGACTCCTGAAAAATAAGAAGTGAATAAAACAATTAAAGAAAAAATAGATCAAATCTGGGGAAAAGAAATAAAATGCCAACAACAATGCAGCCTCTATATTCTGTGGAAATGGATTCAGAAGAGTAGAAATACTTATTTTCTAGTGCAGGTTACATACTCAAAACTTTAAATTAATTTGCAAAACAGATTTAGCAGCTTTAGGCCCTGACTTTGCAAGCTTTTCTATTCTTTGCACTCGACAAGGTCTCATACGTTTGCCTGGGCAACTCAGCTTACTGCACCTAACCCTCAGAAAGAACGAGCTTCTTTAAAAATGGCTACAATGAGCTCCCATACACTTATGGATGGCTGCTAGGGTACATCATACAAGCCCCAACCAACCAAAAAACCCCACTGCTGCATCTTTCAAAACAGTGAATTTATTGCATAATAAACTATTAAAAATTTGTCCTGCAAACATAACACTTTTGAAGAACAGAAGGGCTTCCTGACACTACTGCCACTTTTTGGAAAGACCTCCTAATGTTATTGTAACCATGTTACAGACTTGCTAGTAAACTGAAGCTCTTCCACCATATCATTGCCACATAACACCAGTGCAGATTTTACAAGTGGCATTGCATATTCTATTTCAAATGATTTCTCAAATTCAGAGCCAAATTTTGCCTTTCTCATGTATCACACACATAAACAAATTTGTAGAGGACAACTTCAAGATGAACCAGGTACACATCAGAAGGCATCTCCTACAGTCCATTCCTCCACTGGCAGGGAGGCTAACTGAGCCTTACACCAGCCAGAAAAACAGGTGTAGAACTACAGGGACCCAATCCTGCTCCTGCTGACATCAAATGCAACTAACTAAAATAAAGGCATAGCTCTTTAAGGTGCAGAAGGAAAGTAAGTTGAATTGTAAATTCATCAATGTAGTATCTTCCTTTCAGCCACAACTGTTCCCTTTTCATTCTCCCACACCATGATGTCCTTTCACCCTTTCTTACACTACAGCACTAACTCAGATTATTGTTCCTGTTAAAAGAAAAAATCTCCTAAAGCACTCTTGGAGATCTGTGTAAATACCAGCTCAACCCAAACCCATTTACAATACTGGGCAAGAAGAGACTCTACAGAACAGGACAGAATGCTAAAAACCAACAGAGCATAAAAAAAACCGAAACAAAAGCACAGTAGGAAATTCTAACAACTCATTTCAAATCAGTGCTCAACAGCAACCTCAGAGAGGGTCAAAATAAGATGATGGTGTCTCCTACTGGCACTTTCCATGTGTTCAGCAGCAATTTTCAGAACTACCAGGCTGCAGCAGGTAAAGGCAGCCCCAACTTATAAACCTCATAGTTGTAACAGAAGGTAAGAACATAAAAATATCAACCCACATGCCATAAAGTGCATGTTTAGTTTTTGAACTAGAGTTGGAAAGTGTACAAGAAACAGAATGGTCCTGGGCTCACTCAAGGCAAAAATGAATGAATTAGCTTGAAGTACAGGAGTCTGTTGGACTATAAAGGAAAGGCAAACTCTCCAGTTTTCCACACAGTGGCAACAACACTATCATGCCCTGACTCAACTCCACTATCATATATTTACTCTAGTGAGGAACTTGATTTTTTAAATACAATTACAAACTGTGCAGCTATCCACCCCACTAAAAGTCATAACAACTTTGCTCTCCATGCTATAGCTAGTAAGAAGACATCTCTAACTTGTTCAGGGGACTTTTAGGCAATTTCTTGGCCTGAAGCAGTCTCAGCCTTCCAGAGTAAATAAACAACATGGATCACACCAGTGAACTCCAGGCAACTTCTCACCACACAAATACAGCACACACTCAGGACGGTTCGTGACAGTAACAACCTGCAGGCAGTCCTTTCTAAGCATGCCTTGCTTTTATAAAACATATTTATTTGCAAGTCTCCATTTCCCCTGTCACCCCTCTCAAAAGGAGTGTTTTTTTAGTTATGGTCCCTGTTACATCTGCTCTTCTTTTTAAAGCTTAAATAGGGTTCTCAGAGGTACAATACCTCCCCCAAATGTAACTATGCAGCAATAGTGCAATAGTACTCGAGTCCAAGACTTTTGTTGCACTTATGAATATAGTAAACATTTTTTTAATTAATTGTCCTTTTATTTAAAAGACATAAACTCAACAAGCAAATAGGCCAGGTCTGCCAGTAATAAATCAGCAGAGTGGCACCAAGTGGCCTGCCTGTACTTTCCAGTTATTTGTAATCTTACAGCAAGTAATTTGCAATCTTTGCACCGTGTACAAAAATGTACAGATGAACAGCTGTCAAGAAAAGCAGCCAATTAAAAGATTGCTGTGTCATGTACTGAAACAACCCCTTGTAGCATGAGTTGGCAATGTGTCCTGGGCTGCATCAAAAGCAGCATGGCCAGCAGGTCAAGGGAGGTGATTCTTCCCTCTGCTCTGCAGAGACCTCACCTGGAGTACTGTGCCCAGCTCTGGAGTCTCAGCACAAGAAGGACGTGGACCTGTTGGAACAGGTCCAGAGGAGGCCACAGAAATGATCAGATTACTAGAACACCCTTCCTAAGAAGAAAGGCTGGAGAGTTGGGGTTGTTCAGACTGGAGAAGAGAAAGCTAGAGGGAGACCTTACTGCAGCCCTTCAGTACTTAAAGGAGGCCTTTAAGAAAGATGGAGACTTTTTACCAGGACCTGTAGTGACAGGACAAGGTGCAGCAGTTTTAAATTTAGAGAGGATAGATTTAGACTAGATATAAGGAAGAATTTTTTTACAATGAGGGTGGTGAAACACTGCCACAAGTTGCCCAGAGAGGTGATAGATGCCCCATCCCTGGAAACATCCCAGGCGAGGCTGGATGGAGCTCTGAGCAGCCTATCTACTTGAGGTCCCTGCTTACTGCAAGGAGGTTGGACTAGATGACCTCTGAGGTCCTTTCTGACCCAAACCATTGCATGACTTTATGGCAGAAGGAACCTGGACAACTGGATAACAGTAAGCCATGCCTTGTGAAACAGTACCTTATAAATAAAGGTCAGTTACAAACTGCAGTAAGCAGATGACAGAACACTGATTACAGTGAAGAGAACATCTCTTTGTTTAAGGGCTAAAGGGATACTTAAAAATGGCCTTCTTGTAAATCACCTTATAAGCCTTCTTTCATTCTTCAAGAGAAGAGTAAAGAGATTAAAAAAAAAAAAAGTCACAAAAAAACGGAAAAATTCCATTGTGTGGAGTTATCTCTCATTCTTTGTACAAGAAATAAGAGTATTAAGTTTCTTCTTTATCTGAGGTCATAACTATAAATATTCAAATCACAGTCACCCCACCCTCAAAAAAATAAATTACAATTTTGCTGAGGAAAGGTATTCCATTAAATGCAACAGTAACAAGACATGGTTGCTGTCACAAAGTCTCCTTCATGTGGAAGCAAACACAAATTTCTTTCGTGCAAGAAGTCTACCACAGACTAAGGCAAATAAAGATAAAACTGATGGAGCTGCAACATAAACCAGTGTATAACATTATTGTTCTGCTGTTCTAAAAGTTTCTTCTACAGTCAGACTCCTCTTAAACCTCCTCATACCAAATGTTTTTATGGGCATATGACAAGGGACAGGGACTACAGGTTTTATTGACAAAATCATTCAGACCGCCTGAAAGCAAAACAAAAAAAAACCAAAACAAAACTGTAAGCTAGTGTGAGAACAATATAGCCTGAACTAGTGCAGTTTATTATAGCCTCAGCTAAGAGATGCAAGACTTCACAAAGAGATCTAGCATAGGCAGAGTCTCTGTCTCTGACCCAAGGCAGTGGAAATGAGGGGCACAGGGTGGGAGGGATACCAGCTAACAACCTGCCAGGGCTGTGCCGCCCCTCCTTCAACACCAAAAGGTGCTCAACTGTTTCAAGTAAAGATATGGTTAAACAGTCTCCTTCCTTTTTAATCTGCATCCCAAGTGATCCATAAGCTACAGAAAGACTCTTCATTTTTGGGCACCACAGAAAGACTGTTCATTTTTGGACACCACAGTTTAAGGACATTGAGGAGTTGGAGTGGGTCCAGAGAAGGGCAACAAAGCTGGTGAAGGGTCTGGGGAACATGTCTTATGAGGAGCAGCTGAAGGAACTGGGATTGTTTAGTCTGGAGAAGAGGAGAGTCGAGAGACCTTATCGCTCTCTACAGCTACCAGAAAGGAGCTTGTAGTGAGGTGGGTGTTGGTATCTTCTCCCAAGTAACTAGTGATAGGATGAAAGGAAATGGGCTGAAGTTGCTCCAAGGGAGATTTAGGTTAGATACTGGGGAGAATTTCTTTCTTGCAAGAGTGGTGAGGCATTGGACCAGGCTGCCCAGGGAGGTGATGGAGCCACCAGCCCTTGAGGCATTCAAAAACCGTGTGGATGTGGTACTTCAGGACATGGTTTAGTGGTCATGGTAGTGTTGGGTTAACAGTTGGACTGGACGATCTCAGAGGTCTTTTCCAACCTCAACGACTCTATGACTGCAGGAAGAAAAAGCGTTTAAAGAGTTGATTGTCAGCACATCAGAAAGCCCGGCAAGGGGAGCATGGACATGGACACACACGCCCCGGGACCTCATCGGGGGCACCTTCTACTAAGGAGACAACGGCAAGTACCGGAGGACACGGGACGCGCACCTCGGCCGCGCCGCTACTGACATGAAATACTCAGTCGGCATTCGGACACCCCACAGGCGCCCCCGCAGCCCGCCCGCC